ATATAAATACAGTATATATTAAATAATATATATATATATAATTATATAAATAAATACAGTATAATACAGTGTATATGTATGGCTCGCGGACTCGCATGGCTCGCTGACTCGCATATTGGCTCGCATGACTCGCTGGCTCGCGCTTTGGCACTACTCTCTATTCAAAATGAATGCTGTAAACATTTTTCAAATATGGCATTCGAAATTCTGTTTAATATTTTTTTTCACTTGACTCATCGACGAATCACTTGATTCATCATCGAATCACTTGATTCATCGACGAATCACTTGATTCATCATCGAATTACTTGATTCATCATCGAATCACTTGATTCATCATCGACGAATCACTTGATTTATCATCGAATCACTTGATTCATCATCGACGAATCACTTGATTCATCATCGACGAATCATTTGATTCATCATCGACGAATCACTTGATTCATCATCGACGAATCACTTGATTCATCATCGACGAATCACTTGATTCATCATCGACGAATCACTTGATTCATCATCGAATTGTTGCTTGAACGGCGTTCCATATATCAGTCAATATCAAACAAGCATTCAAACAACCATCCAAACAATTAATCAATTATCCAATAAATGAATTTATCCATCAACCAATAAACCAGTGAATGAATCCATCAGTCAGTCAATTAACAAATAAATCAACACATCCATCAATCGATTAACTTAGAAACTAAAAAAAATATCCTACTAACATTTGACAGTAACATGGGTTTTGGTATAGCTTGGTTTAGCGATGAAGCTAGCATCCCTCGTATCAGCTACACAGTAGTAAGTACCACTGTCATTATGGCGAACCCTACTTTTAGTATATATTATACTAAAGGCATTGCTGCCACTCTCACTTTCGTTACAAATTATAAGAGCACCCGGATCGGTGTCGGGACACTCTGAAGACGGTCTGCTAACGCATATATCATCATAGCCGAGACACAACCACATCTGAATTGGATAGTGATCTTCGTTCTACAGGAATACAACACAAAATCATCAGTACTAGTGTTGATTATTGAGCTTTGATAATGCAGCTCAATAGTTGGGTACCAAACACACATGGCTGATTAATAGGTCAAACACGCCATAATTACGGTAGTAGGTACCAAACTAACCACGATTTATCAGTTGATATTAAACACAACATGTCATGCATGGTTGATTAATTGGTACCAAACACATAATTAATAATTGATAGTAGTTGCTGATGATGATGATAATGATGATGATGATGATAACTAAAACGAAAACCAAAGGAACCTACCATTAAGGTCTTGTTTACGTTGCATTCTATTGTAAGTTTATCGCCTATGTGAAGAATGGTTTCATTTGTTCTCGGTAGAGTTATCTTAGGGTTCAGTTTCTCGCACTTTGGTATGCACGAGCGGCCGAGATCAACATCTACGTTTAAATATATTATTATTCAAAGAATTACCTGTACCACACGATGCCGACGAAAAGAGATACTGATATTGATAAACAATAATAATGCATGTTTGAATATTTAGATTGTGAATAGTCTATTATTGTATTCGTAGGGATATGTTTTTGAACGGGCACTACATGAAAATTTACAACAACAACAAAAATTATAGACAATGAAAACACAATCGTACAAAAAGATTTTTATAATAATGGTAGGCCTACTATAAAATAAGAAACTTAAATTAGCATGAACTTTTTAACGAGTGACAAATAAATTAAAAATTGAAGACAAAAAGATAATCATTCACAGAAGGAAAGCTATAGGCCTAGTAAAGAAAAATATTAACTGCCAAACATTCGAGTAAAATGATAGGCCTTACTACACAGATAGGCCCGTAATCAGGGCTTCCAATTATTCGACTGAAAAAAGGGGTTTCGACAAACTTCACAAGACCCTCCGCATAGACCTCAAAATGCCATCATTTTGTCGGGGACCACTGCACCCCGCCCCTCCTTCAATTCAATGATTAGTTAGATTCATCTGGGTATAGCCCACCATAGAGTGGTTCAGCAGCCAGTTAACACAGCCAAGTCGTCAATGAGTCCGGCCCAGCTGGCTGGGAACTCTTACTAAAATTAATGATTTCGGAAATAATTTTTCTCTAACAACGTACTACTTGCAATTAACATTTCCGCGAAATTGATATTTCCCACATGAATGCAATGGCTTGAATTTTTAATTTTAAATACACGACAGCTGGGTCTCGAAAGAAATACTTGTATAAAATATGTTTATAGGGAAGAAAAATAGAAAAATAGAAACAACTGGTCAATCTCTATACATAAGGTTCGCTATTCATACTCTCTTAATGTAAAAGAGATAATTTTCACTCGAAAAGGGTGCCTACAGGGACCCGGCTCCAAGTTCACTCTTTCTTGAGTGAAAATTCACTCTTAAATGAGTGAATATTATTCTTAAAACAGGGGGAAATTACTAAAATTCATTCTGAATAGAATGAAATCTCACTCTTTATATTTCACTCCATCATGAGTGGTCCCTGTATGCACTCTTTCACTCTTTTTCACTCTTTTGCATTTAGAGAGTAAAGTTAGTTATTCATAAGGATAGTCAGTCATAACATTAGCTAACTCTATTTCGCTAGTCATAATCAAAAAAGGGGTTCGCTATTCAAATATTTATAGGCTTCGCTAGTAGCAATAAAAAAACGATCGAGTCATTTTATAAAAAGATCAATATTTTTAAGTGTCATAATCAATAAAAGGGCTTCGGTAGTCATAATCTAAACAAAGGACTGCTATTCGTAATTATTATATGACTAGCGAACCTTATTCTATATTTGTTGATAGTGTAATAAATAAGGCCCTCTATAGGCAAGTAATATGATAAGTTGATAGTGTGGTATGGGCGTTGTCCACAAAGACAGAGGACTTAAAACTTTGGAGTAGTGAAGACCAATAAATGTAGAAGCTCATTAGATGTAGTATTGTGTATTGATTATTGTCATACAACAAACAACACACACGGTGACCCCAACACCTTGAAATACCGGGTGGTGTCCAGCGGAGGGTAGTTTTACATAGTATTATTTTAGTTTTAGTTAATATTCAATTCATAATCGCCTAGAATCCACGACTCCGGGATGGTGTCCGGTGAAAGATAGTTTTACCTTGTATATAGGTCATTACATTCATAATCTCAATTTTCAAGACCCGAAACCATTCAAAAATAGCGGAATGGTGTTCGGCGGGGGATGCTGTAGTTTACAATGTATTGTTACATTGTTACCTAGTTATTATTTCTGTTATTTATTTATGATCAGATCCTTGCAGTTTTTTTTCTCTGTAAAATGAATTTTACAAATGAAAATAAATTATACTGAATACCTTTTATGACTGTGAACCCTTTATTTCACTCGTGAAACTGTTTTTCTATTATGAATAGTGAGCCTTATGGATAGAACGTTTATATTAGGCCTATTGGTTAATTATTTTTCTTTCTTGTTGGTTGTGTTGCAGATGACTTAAGTCATATTCAAACTCAAGCTTAAATGGCAACTACTGTTGATGAAGGTTTGATCCTCGTTGTTTCGTGAGGGAACGAAATGAGCACCCTCTCTTGTTAGCTGTCTCACATTTTTGTGGTTTTCTTTTCGCGCTCCGATAAGACACAGCAAATTATTTTTCGTAGAGAGAGAAGCGTTCGAGAATTCTGTAGTGTACCGTAATTTAGTTATTTGAGAAAGTTAAGACGGTTGTTCTATGAGTATTGAGCAGTTAAACATCAAATTGTATTAAACTTCATTGTAAAACGGATCATAATTTGAATTGAATTGAATATTGAATTGAATTACGAATTAACCATCATTAGAATTATAGTTATGCTTAGAATTCTAGCATCGTATTAGGTATATGATGAATCATCATGCAAGTGAGGCGTGTTTTAATTGTACATGGACAGGAACGTTAATGATTTATTTTTATTTATTTATTTCAACCATCTTTAAAGAGGGTAACCCTTCCAGTTTAGCCCAGTAGGTTAACTGATATTCAGGGGCCCTCTTTAATAAAATCAAAGAACAGTACAAACAACATCATTACGATGCTACAATTCTAAGCATAACTAATATATGATTATTAGTAATTATTATAACTATTTGTTTGATTGCGTATTAATTTACTTTAATTTGTGGTACAGTATTTTAAGAGTCTAGTGCATTTTATATCCTATGCGGAGTGATATTTGCAGTGTTATGAGGCTTATTTGGGACTCGCATTTTAAGTTAGTGTAAGTTACAGTATAATCAAGTTGATCCCTGGAAGTGTTTTATCTCTAGTGGTTAGCCTGGGTGCAGTAGGAAATTAGCGGGAAAAAAGTAAAGGAAAATTTATTTTTGGTTTTTCTGAATCAGTATATCATATAGTGTCTCAGAAAAAAAATCCCCATTCTTAAAGCTTGGGCAATTTTTTTTATAGCACTTTAAAATTTCGACATAAAATATTCTATTTTGGGCTAATTAAGATGGGGGTAGAGGAAATAAATGTATGTTTTTAGTCACTTTTACATATGCTATGTATATCAAATGTAACAAGAACTTGGCTAAATAGTTACTCCTCACTCTCGTTAAAAAATTTAATCGGAATAATGACCTCATCACAAATAATTCCAAGATGACTGCCATTTTGGCGGTAAAACTCTTTTAAAATGTAAATTTAAATTTATTGTTATCAGAGCAATTTCAAAACAATATATATCCATACACACANNNNTTTTGCTCTGAAAGACCCAACAATTCAATTTATGGACTCGGATCGGGGTAAATTGAAAAAAAACTATGGCATTATATTATTCACCTCTAGTTTTGCTATAAATGTGAAAATTGACAATAAACTTAGTTAACTAGTTACTCTTTACTGTCTTTATCAATTTTAATTGAAATAAATGATCATAATGCCAATTTCCAAGATGGCGTTCATCTTGGCGGAGAAAATGGTTATTTTTGTAAGATTATTATTATATTATTATTATTATTATTATTATTATTATTACTATTATTGTACAAAATACAATCTCATCAAAGCAATCACATATAGAATATATATAAGTATTATTATTTTAATAGTAGTATTATGCTTATTTATTATTTTTGAAATCATTAATAATATTATGTATATATTACTGTATTGTATTTCTGTTATTTCAAATTTATATTTTAATATTAGAATGAATTTAACATTGTTAGTACTGTTATATAATAATATTATTTATAAAATTTTTATTACAACTATTGATATCATTACAGTATTATCATCATCCATCATCATCCGTCATCATCGTCCTCACCTTCATCACGTCCTTATCAATCATCTATCGTCGTTATCATCATCCTTCTAATTCTTCATCATTTTCTTCATCATCATCCTCATCATCATATTCATCCATCATCCTCATCATCATCAATGGCATAGCCAGCTGTTGGGACAGTCCCACACAATTTTTCCAATGGGTCCGCAAAAAATGGTCCACATTTAAAAAAATGGTCCAAATTATGTAATTTTATGCATAAAATGGATCCAGATACCTTATATTTAGTTAAATATGGGTAAAATTTAAGAAAATGGGTCCAGATATTTCATATTTTTGCGTAAAATGGGTCCACATTGTTTGAATTTACACAAAGTAGGTCCGCTCTGATATTGTCCCACACCGTTTGAAAATCCTGGTCATGGCATTGATCCTCATCCATCATCGTCACCCTCATCACCATCCTCACCAATCATTGTTAACATCATCACCATCATCTTCATCCTACTAACCATCCTCATCCATCATCATCCTTATTCTCATCATCATCAACCTTATCCTACTTATCATCATCACTCATTCATCATCATAGTCCTCATTATCATCATCATTGTCATTATCATCCTCATTACAATCATCATCTATCATCATCATCCTCATTACAATCATCATCTATCATCATCCATTATCATCCTTGTCCTCCTTATCAACCACATCATCATCATCCTTATTAATCATCATTATCAATCATCATCCTCATCATGAGGATGATAATGAAGATGAGGACGACAAGAATGAAGATGAGGATGAGGGGTAGACGGGATGTTTCTCATCATTCGTCATCATTAACCTCATCAACATCATTCTCCTCATCAACATCATTCTCATCAATCATCCTCATCATCATCACGATCACCCTCATCAACGACCGTTATCATCAATCATAATCATCATCATCCTTATTTTCATCATCATCAAACTCATCATCCTAATCCTTCTCCTTATTATCATCATTATCCTCACCGTCCTTATCAGCATCATTTTCTTCCTCGTCATCATCCACCATTAATCATCATCTACCTCATCATCTTTCTTCTCCTCATCAGCCGCATCATCCTCATCCTCATCATTCTTATCTTAATCACCATAATCATAATCATTATTACCATCATCATTATCATCATCATCATCATCATCATTACCATCATCATTTTCATCATTATCCTCTTCATCACCAGTCACTACCATCATCATGATCCTCCTCCTTATAATGGGGAATATAATGAGGATGGGGATGACAATAAGGAAGATGATGATGATAATAATAATAATGACATCAGTATATTAAGAATAACAGTACTAACGCGAATATTAATGTGAATTATAAACTATAATTTTTTTAAAGGCATAAGAATAATGATATACTATATTAATAATATTATAGAGTAACAACATAATAGTGTACTAATGATGATGAAGAAAAATGGAAAGATTAAATTTAAATAAGTAAACATTTACTTTAATTTTGATTGTCGGAGTCTTGGAATTCGGTGTGTTGACGTCATCATTCCAAATTTGCTTGGGAGGTGGGGAATTCCTGTCTGACAGGCCTAGACTCCCATCGTCCGATGCCTCGACAAAGTCGCCACACCACAAATAATGATTTGCTTATCCATATAACATTATTTTGATTGCCAATCCCTAATATTTTGGCTTAAAAGCAAAATTTTGGGCCATACAAAGCTAAAAAGAAACTCTCCCATAAGCCCAGGGAAGTTTATTCTGGGACTCTGACCGAGGGTCTAGTCGGTCCTGTGTTTGGACCAACCCTATCAGACCCCCTGGGGCCACCACTGAACGACTATATAATGGGTAAGTATTTAACTAAGGTCCTGTCAGTTTTCA